AAAAAAGTCGGTTGATTTTCCGTGTAATTAATTAGAATTCGACGAAATCGAAAAAAAAATTGCCGTAATAAAATTGCATTTTACAGTCGATAACGAAAAAAAAAACGATTAATAACAAAAAATAATATAATAATAATATTATGTAACGTTCCAAAAGTATCATCCCTGGCCGGTAGAGAGCGCTGATCTCCCCGCTCCRCGCCACCGCCAAACTCGCCGGAAAAAACCGAACCGCGGTATACCGGACCCGACGAGCGGTACCGCCGCCGAACTGTCGTAGCCGGAGTCTCGAAGCCCTCCAGTCGTTGCCCCGTCGGTCGTCGCGCACGTTCTGTACGTCCGTTTTGTCGTTCGAGTGTTTAGCGTGTGTGTTCCGTGTGGTTGAAATTCATTTTTCCGTACGTTTTCCCAAAACGTTATCGCGTGTGCTCGCCGTCGTTTCCGCGTGCGTTGTTCGTCGGYGGTAAATCACAAACATGTTCCGTTGTCGTCGTCGTCGTGCGGTACTATTGACTTCCGGAGAATAATAAACAATATCACCTCGTGCCGCGATTGGTGGTGGTTTTGCTTTTGCTTTTTAATTTTCAATTTATTTGGATTTACGTACTCTTTTCACGTCGCGTCCGCCACCGCTGTCGTCTTATCGTCTACCCCCCTCCCCAGTGCGCGAAGGTTAGGGGAGAAAATATGAAAACTTCCCGGAGACGGGAATTCGGTCGGCCTGTGCTGCTGATGCTGCTGTTGGCGTTCTTCACTGTCGGCGACGTTACAGGTAAATAACAATATTATTATATACTACTTTTAATGATATACTATTATTATTATCATCATCAAACGCGTCAATGATTGTCGATTGGTAATAAAAATGTTTTTAAACTGTACTATATATTAGTTATATTAGGTACTATTCTCACACGCGTGTAGTATAATAAATTAATATAGTTTGATGTTTTTCGTCCGATAAGGCTGTCGAATACTTTGGACGTGATAAATCAATTAATCTCTTCGAAATTCTTTTTTTATTTAATTAATGACTGTTCGAATTCYTGATAATGTGTCCRTTCGCGTATATTTACTATATGAAATCGAGCGGATAGGTACCTGTAATGAATAAATACAATTTGATTCAATAAAAACTAAGTTTTTTTTGTTCAGTTGTTTGTTAGGTTTTTTTAGAATCATAATGAATGGGCTTTACGTAGTAATTTACATAATTTCGTCGGCATATGATTATATCCATAGTTTTGTCTTTTTTATGGCCGCTTTTTCACGGATGACTCTTATGTCTGAAAATATTTAGAAAAACGTGTTCGAAACCCAGTAGTTTATATAACAGTTTGAAAAAAAACATTCAAATTGAATTTTAACATTGTTTGTTGTAATAACATCGAATTAACGTTGGCACGTTGTACGCGATACTGACACAATACACTATTATACGATAGGTAGTGAAAAAAAAACAAAAAAAAATTACTGTTCCGGTACCTATCTAATTATAAAAAATGTATCATATACGTATAGGATTATATCACAGTATAGTTAACATTTGCATTCGTAAATCATATCATCTGGTGAAGGGGTGATACCGGATCGCTGGCACGTTAAAATTTACGATTTCGTCCGCTCGTCGTACTTGCCGAGTTTTTCGATTTATGTGAATATTGTTCGCGTCATTCTCTCTCTCGCTCTATGACGGTCGGATGTCGCGCGTTACGCCAATGACTTACTWGCGTATTATATTTCGCTGTCCCTCGACAAATAATAATAATTATTGTTATACTTATTACTATTATAATATACGACCGCCGCCGCTGTCGATCCGACCTCAGACGAGGTCAACCATAGCCAAATGGTCACCACTATGGTAATTTAAAAGTGCGCGCTCGGGCCTCGGGGTCGTTTTAGTGTCATAATATCCTACTCGAGAATGCATGAAAAATCGAAAATAAAAAACCTTTAATAGAGATGATGATTAAGTTTTTGAAACCATGTAGATACCTATTAAAAATATGTACCATTTTTTTATTATAGGTAACCGTAGGCCCCCGTGTATGTTGGTTTTACAAATTTTAATAGCTCCYATATGTATAAATATTATTATAGGTACATAATATCTATTGTACTATAGTTTTTAAATATTTAACGCTAGTAAATTAAATGATTAAGTACGAATGGTCTTTATTATTCCTTTACGTTCCTTATGACTTATGACTTAATACCCATTTAAATACTGATATATATTTTTATTTTTATTTGTGATTTGTACAATATGTAGTATATTGATTTGTAACTATAATATACAGATTATTTAATTAATCTATAATTAAAAGCATGCAAAAATACGGTAGCAAAAAATCCGGGATGTCTACATAATATTCGTATTCATCATATTTTAATGATTATTAGTTCTAAAATATATAGGTGCCATATGGCTGCTGTGTACTTTTCGACCCTTATTAGTTATTATTAGTTATATTTTTTTAAATGAAACACGCGTTGTCTTAAATCATAGTTGATAATTTAACAACATTTGACAAAAATTGATAGTTAATGAACAAAAATAAAATTCATTTAATGTTTCATTCTAAAGTATAATAACAGAAAAATCTGTTTAGAAAACTATAAAAACTCTTAAGTCTTATCTTAGTTGTATTCGGAGTTGTATTCTAAAAGCTAATAATAAAAAAAAAAACTTTTAAATTAAAAMTATCCATTATTTTTTTCCAATGTCAAACACATTAGTATAAAATATTGACTTTGGRGCCTCGACCTTAAGTTAAAAAGAAATATTTAAAGTAGAAGATTGGTAGAAGATTACATTTAGCTAGGTAGGTATATTTACGTTCAATTATAAAATCTAAGTTGCCTATTATCATTTAACTCATTATTTATTYAACTCATTACAAATCTCTTCTAAGGTATATTTGCCATCTGGGGTATATGCGATCCAAATTTTAGGCTGTGCAAAATAATTCCAAGTACCTAACCTTTAATAAATTCTACCCATTGATTAAAATGAATATATTGCAGAAAACTACTGAACAAAAATAATATTATAGGTACCTAAATATTTACCATAGAAAACACGTGGGTCCTATCATAGAATTGTCTCTCCCTCCTCATCGTATATTATTGTTCATCTATATGTAGGTATTAATATAAATTATTTTATTTGCTTATTAAACATGTATGAGTACAGGTTGTAAATATTATTTTATTAAATAAAAAAAATTTGTTTGATTTTGTATTAAATCTATATATTTAAACATGTGATATTTGTTACTGTTTTTTAATAATTCCAAATATGATATATATCTATATGTATGTAAACTTATCGGCCTATCTATAATGCATCACTGAACTGAAAGTCACATAATAGTTTCCCGCTTACACATCACAGTTAACATCTGTAAAAGTTTACATACTTTTCATTTTTATGACGTTAAAGTTTATATACCATGTTTAAATGACTACTCATAACAAAATGTTTTTACGATCTCGACATTAACTAGTGTTGTGAAGTACCATTTATGTACTGTCGGGAATTTATTATTTTCTTACATTAATATGTTATACGTCGAACTGTGTATAATATTATTATTATATGAGTGTTCAGAACAATTTCGCAGAATTTGCCAAAAGTAATTTTTCAGTTCTTTGTATGAAATCTTTAACCCCCCCCCCTTTCTCAACACATAATATAAAACTTCAAAAAATTTGTCAAGACTCAATTTAAATTAGCCGACCTAGCTATTGCCAGAGTTGTTATGAYACGTAAACGCGCGTATGCACGAAGTATATGTTTAACATCGCATTTTTATATAATATCAATATATATTATATATGTTATTTATAGTGGGTATAATATATTTTATTGCTTGCAGTATTATATGTAATATACTATAATTTTGATTGAAGTTGTAAATTAAGCCGTACCTATAAACTTTTCTATGATTTTCATTGAAAGTTGACTATTGTTAAATAGGTAACGTGTTTTGTGCTCATATATTCAATGTCTATGCAAACTTTCATTGAATCCGTTTTTTGAAATTTCTTTAAATCTAAACACCGGCTGTTTTCAATTCCTTTGTTTTGAGGACATTGTGTTAAATAGACTTCATTTTTCTAAAACAGTTGTTCTCTTAAGGTTATTTATGTATTTACTTAAATTGTATATTTGTTTTACAACAATAACTTTATTGGAGATTTTTGGAATATACCTACTTATATATCCATAATTTGGTATCGGTATAAACTGATGCTTACTTGAGTTAGTGCTTGCTGCCGTCTGCTTTGTGTATATTACAAACTGATAACTCACATAATGATATGTATGCAAAAACATTTTATTAACGAACATATTATTATTATAATTTATAAGCAATTCTCCATGATGTGTGCTTACTGATATTCCTTTTCATTATTGAACAATACAAACACACTATTACACGAGCATAGGCAAACATAAACACAAGTATAATATATGTATATATACAMCCAAATAAGTGCTAAGGGAGGGGGTGGTATACTGGTATGACTACGTTAAAAATTGAATACAAAATCCTATCTCTTTAGGGCATCTACAAAAAAAGCCTATCATAATATAATATATAGTATACAGTAGGTGTAAATGCACAGTGCGGAGGTTAATGATTTATCGGCAGCAGACCGGTTTTTTTCTGACTTAATTCCATACATTGCCTCAGTTATTTGGAACACAAATTATTATTTATTGATATGCCGGAGGGGGCACATGAGGGGAACAATCATAATCTATCGGGTCAGTATTAAGAAAAAAAAAATCTTTCATGTCCTACCGATAATTGGAAATCGGTGTATAGGTATTAGGTATGTTAGCAAGAGAAAATCTGGTCGGGAGTCGTAATTGGATTTATTATACACACGTGTCTTAAATTATCAAAAATATTGACCGAATTTATATTGGACTTTACGCTATTTATGGTGTATTGGTATTATACTATTATAGGTACTTAAGTATATTATACTGTATTTTCCTTGCTTTATTTGTATTAAGTAAAAATACAGATATAGATATGATAACATTCAAATTAAATATTCTTGTGTCTTAACCAGCCTATTGTATACATAAATATAGATATAATAACTTCCGGGTGACGATCTATAATATACTCGTTATCAAATATTCCAGTAATAAACGTCTTGGTTAAAAAAAATATATATTTGTTTTTATATTGAGAGGAAATGGGCAGACATCGAATGTCGTAAAATTCGGTTTTGTTTGAATTAAATGTATCTATACCATGATATTGTTATTAATCGAGTTATTAATATATATGATATATTATATTTAGTTCGTTTTATTTAATCACAATTTTATGCTAAACTCTTGAACTTTATACTTAATATTTACCCGAAAACGATTATAAAATACCAGTGATATAAAAAAAAGTTTATAACAGTACCTACCTACCCAAATTAAAATTCTTAATATAATATAACTATTGTAACTGGACTTGTTGCATCAATAACGATGTTTTTATTTTATTACCTACATTTTTCACAGGTTATTTGCGTTCCTTTATTTAAGACCGTAATAAGTAACCATTAATTAATACTGATCGTTATAGTGGATATATTATGCTCCACTTTATTATGAAAATATTTACATATTTACTTTCATAATGTTTGGTTTAATTTTTAAATTAAATTGACATGGACGATAAGTATAATAGCATTTCAGTACTCAGAATCAAATTATAAAATAATGAATATTGTATTGAAAATTATATT